CCGGACACCCTTTTAGTTCAGTAATGAAGTCACTCCTGAGGTTCACCCTTCAGCCAAAGATTAGACAGACCCCATAAAACAAAACGAGACTAATGGAGCACAACAGTCCAGGGACAACGACTAGAAGGCAGCAGGTGACAGGAAAGCTGGTAATAGGGAACCCAAGGCTGAGAACGGACAGTGTTGACATGTCATGGGGTTGTTAACCAATGTAATACAACAGTATGTGTACTGTTTAATGAGAAATTATTTGTTCTGTAAACCTTCATCTAAAGTACAATAAAAAAAAAATCCCAATGTTCAAGTTGCTCCCTGTATCAATCAAAACAGAATGTCTGGGGGATAGGAAGGCCATCAGTATTTTTAACAATTTTGAGGAGACTCCAGTGTTCAGCAAAGCTTGCGGACCACTGCCCCGAGGATTGGGTGGGGCCTCCACACATTAACTGAGTCACCAGCAACAACAGGAATAAAACCAGGCGTTCCTCTGCTCTCTGAGAGAAGCAGCTGGTTCCTGTTTCCATCTTCCCCTCTGGGAGGGAGCTGTAAAGTGAAATATTTATTTACACAGAGTGCACTGAAAGCCCATGAGAGTCCACTTTGGAAAGCTGGACTTTTTTTTCCCAATCTATTTCAGCTTTCTTTGGAAAAAAGCAGCTCATGGCTGAGGTAATATGGCACAAACCTTCAAACACATGCCAAAGCAGATGGGAAGAGGGCCAGAGGCAGGACGCAGACCTGCCTTCTGGCTCTTTTGGTTTTCAGCACTGCACAAGGAGCGCCCTTTTTAAATACATGAATTTTTCGTGACTCCCATGTGCTGTCCTGACTCCAAAAAGTATAGAAATCAGTAGAGTTAACCTACTGAACACTGGATATGCTAAAAATATTAGATCTTTTAAAAGAGTCTTTATAAAAAATAAGTGTGATACTGTGCTTATTATGTAAAGATTACATGATGATAGTTCTGATACTGATACCATGGGTGCCTACATGGGCCACAGAGCCATTCAATTCACTGAGAATATCTGCCGAATGATAACGTTTTACATGCTCACAAAATGCAGCATTGAATACTGTGAAGAACACTGGATTGGGAATCAGGAGACACAGGCTGAAGACCCAGTTCCGCCACCCTTTGGCTAGGACACCTTGGGCAAGTCACTGCATCTTCTGAGCCTTGTAATTTGTAAATTACATTTGTAAATTAAGGGGTCGATTTCTAAGAAAGGGTTCATGGTTTCTACATGTGGGAAGAATTATCCTTCAGTATCCTTGAAAAACCTGTGCTGGTATGCAGGTCTTCCACGCCTGACGTGCTGTGCTCCTGACTCACTGGGGGGAAGATCAGACTCCATGTTTTAGGACATTTCTAGCAGAGTGCCCTGAGACCTGAATGGAGGCATGAATTTTCTCCTCTAATATCCACGTTATTTAAAAAATAAGAACATCCACATGAGTTAGTCAATTTATTAACACTTATTCGTTGAATTGGCTAACTTCTCTTTCTGCTTCTGAAAAGAAGATATGGGGGTCATAGGATGTTTAGGCGAAAGGTACCTTAGAGATTACATTTTTCAAATTAATTCTATTATTTAGTCATAATCTTGATAAATGATAGCACTGGAATGAGTTTACGGGTGTCATAATGCTTATCTTACCCCTTGGATGATTTTTAAAAAAGAGTTTCAGTGACTCATAAGTCAGAAATAAATGAGTAAACATCCAACTGGCAAAAAGAGACATACTTAGATAATGGAATAAGTTTTAAAGTATTCTTCTTTGGTTCCAGACAGCCATTAACTTGAAAAATTAAGCAACTTTATAGATACAGTTGAAAGCAGAAATTTCTATTTCATTGGCATAGCCCTAAATTTACAAATAATTATTGAATTATTTAAATAACTGTACCACTTAGAAATTAATATTTAAAAATATTATTCTTAATGTGAGCCCCTGTAGAAAGCGAGACTTTAGTTTCCTAAACTATATTTGAAATGTGTCATTTTTTTATCATTGGTAATTAAATTGGATTTTTTTTTACATTAAACCTGAAATGAGATGCATTTAAACTTGCTTTGTAAAAAACCTGAAGAATGATATAAATGCAGGGTATTATTATTAAATTTATATTTAATATAATACATATTTTACATATTTATATTCTTTATAGGACTCAGCACAGTGCTTGGCATGGTTAATAAATATTTGCTGTGGTTGGATGGGGCCATCACCTCACGTTGTAAGAGCACAATAGCCTCCCTATAGATACTCCTACCAATGCATCCTGCTTATAATTATTTTCTTAAGTGATTTTAGCTGACCCATTACCTCATCTCTTCTAAGGGAGCCTGTTCTACACACACCTGGCTCATCAATAAGGAGGATGTGCGGGCCAACACGTATGTGGCCTGGGCTGGACTTGCCTACATACAGGTGAAGAACTAGTCTCAGGTCATTTTGAAACATATTTGAGTCTTCAAAGGCAAGTATTGCTTCTTATATTCCTTTTGTATCTCTACTTCCTAAGCACAGTGGCAGGCATGCTATCAGAATAAATGGTTATTTACTGCTGAATAGATGTTTCAGGAAACCCAGTCAATCCTGCCTTCATCCACATAGGTGTTTTCATTTTTCTGCCTGAAGACAATAGGTGTTTTCTCACCAGGCTTTGTAAAAGAGAAGCAAAATGGCCTTTGAAAACAGTGTAAATGAAGCAACTGTGAATACAAATATATATGTCTTCATATGCCCATTGGAGATTAATTACATTTTTTCTTAAAGAAATGTTGCTCCTTAACTTAAACTCAGATTGCTTTCTAAACTGTTTTAGAATCCACTGTCCTTGTCCCAGAGTAACAGAGGTCAGAAGTAGCATGAATAAATTAAATCTCTGAAGAGTGGAGGGGGGAAAACTAAATTTAGCCCCAGGTACCTCCCCTCTTTCTAGGGTTTCACAGGAGGCATTACAAAGAGTAACAATAAATGGATGGGGTTCCACTCTCCTCGACTCTTTACCATCTGACATCACTAGTCCCCCCCAACTCTCACATCCAAACAGGCAACAGTGGGCTACCAAGAATCATCTCTTTTATATTCCTTTTTTATATAATGTTTTCCTAAAAAAGCAAAGAGACCTGTTAGCACCCATGCCTAGTGCACAGTGATTTAAAGTGTTGTCTTAAGCACTCAGTGGGCTGACTCAACAAATCATAGGACCTTGACACTGGCTTGCTGCCACATGCGAGGCAACTACAGTTATGACACACAGGTTGCTCGCAAAGGGAGCAACTCAGGCATGCTGGGTTCTTCTTGGGGTGAGCTGCAGTGCTCTGTGCTGCCACTCACTGCCTCTCTGTCTCAGGGCCCAGGACCACTCTTTCCCCAGTTGGCTATCTTTCAGAAGTTCACCACTCATCCAAAGTAGACCTAGGGTTGAGCAGAAGTATCAAGGTAGTGTGACTTGCCTACACGGTCAGCGAACATGGCACTTATATCTCCAGTTCTCCCTTCTCTTGACCACGACAAACATCATTAATTAATCATTCCAACATTCTTTCTTCCTCAGCCCAGATGTGGCCTCATACCCCTTTTCAACATAGGCCATCACAAAACAACTGGAGTTGGTATGTCAGCTATGTCCATGTAGAGAAAATTGTGATGGTCTATAAAATCCATGTTAGAGAAAAGAAGGGTAGAATAATATAAAATTTTACATGATAGAAAAAAATCAACTTCTAATCTGAAGAAAAAAATTGTTTTTTAGGCCTGTCTCAAAAGAAAATAAAAGTCCCAATAGCTGAAACAGAAACAGCACATTTGTCCAACTTCACTCATCTGGCACACTTATAACCCAGGTCTCTAATACTATTCTCTACCAAAAGGAATCAGACCTCCTTGAAGCGGAATTAATTTGAAGTCTTGGGACAGGAAAATTCAGGGTGGGTCTAATATTGTGTTGTTGCCAGAGAGCAAAAATGCTTTAAAAACCACCGAGGGAAGGGCTAAAAGGACAAAGGAGCACTTTAGGGGAGCTTCCACTGCCCAAGCTGTTGACAATTTAAGCATAAAACAACAACAATAATAATAGTCAACTGGAACAACTTACACAGTGGAAAAGTTAATATGAAGTCCTCAAAAAGGTAGTATTAATATAAAAAGGAAATTGTAATTTTTATGACTTTATTAAGTTATGCGGCATTAAATACATAGCTAGTTTGTTTCTTCTCTACTTCCTACCCAGACATTGTTAAGCATGAATCTATTATCAAGTATGAATTTGAACCTGTTTCTGTCTGTGAAAGCAAGAGAGATTGGGTGGGGGAACCTGTCAGGAAGGCCTGACTGGCCCTTGTGGTCTCATATAATATCATAGCAAAAAAAAAAAAACAAGGTCCATCAGTTTGGTGCTGCTGATGGTTATGCATAATAACCAATGAAAAGAGAGCCCAATGGTGTGTTTTCAGATGATAAATTAGCTGAATCCTCCTCCCACTCATGCTTCCCCTACAAAATAGAGAGCTAAATGCACTGACCCACTTCCTCAGCTCCCAGGGAATAAAACCTCTAGATGATCTTACTAATGAGACATTGATAAGATGTAAGTAAGGTTCCAATTATACCAAAGAGGTCAACATATCATAATGACAAAAAAATAAGGTAGATGCAAGCCATCTGTTCATAACTTCTGGTAAAAAAAATTTTCAGAAAAAGAATATCCACCTGAGAGATAGGGATGTAAATTTTCCATCATGCACCACTTTGTAAGAAAAGAGATTTGAACCACCAGACTATGCAACTAAATCACACATTCTGTCCTGAAATCAAAAGGTTAGCAACATAGAACTTGCAACATCACTGGATCTTTTTCTTTGGGAGTCTGGTAAAGTTTCTAAAATCTTAGAAAGGTGTAAATTTTGTTTCTGGTAGACTTACTAGGGCAGAGTAAAAATTGGATCCCCATAAGGTATAAGAATAAGGAGAAAATAAGTCACAAAGTAAAATCCATAGTATCAACATCTCTGTGACTGGTTTTGATGAAAGGGTATCAATTAGTTTCATAATTATTGGGCTAGTTTGTGTGTAGGTACCTTTTTTGTTTTTTAAGGTATTTGGATTATTTAAGAAAATTTGATATATTGGATTTGTGATTTTGATTCAAGTCCTTGAAAGTTTTTGTCATGGTGCAATCACTGCTTAAATTATTAAGAAAATTTGTCTTCTTAAATCTATAAATTTTGATGACCTTGTTGAATAAGTAGGATGTGACTATTTAGAGGAGTATTGATTAAGTTTAAAGAAATGATTGCTTAATAATGTCATAAGATTATAAATTAGACATTAAACAATACACAAATGGTAGTTAGTATTCCTTCCTAAGTGCAAAAGCCACTTAGGAAGACACTAAAGATGAAACCAACTTGCCATTCCCGGAGACTCATGATCATTTAAAAGGATTGCTATTCAAATAAAGGTACCTTTCAGCAAAGTTGCTACATCTTTCTATACAGATCATGCTAATTTCTCAGGTTGGTGGGGCTGGCTTTTTAACTACTCTTCCAGGTACTGTGAAAGTTTTTGCTTCCTCAATTTCATTGCCAACCTCAAGCTGGCAATTCATACCTTTTGGTTCTTCTGTCTTTCCTCCTGGGTTGGAGTTATCATCTTTTGTGGAATCCTGCAAGGTTCCATATTCCTTTTCCATCTTAGCTGCTTCTTCCTTGGTACTGTCTGTCTCTTCATGACTCTTCTCGGATGGCACTATAATTAGATTATGCACTATTACAACTATATCTCCTATCAATTAATTCCTAATGTAGAAATAAGCTTTATTTAAAAGGCACAGTTTGAGGTTCAATAATTTTCTGAGCTGAAAGGGAGTTTAGCAATTCTCTAGTCCAATCCCCTCATTTCACAGACGAGGAAACTGAGGCCCAGAGAGGGGAAATGATTTGCCTAAGGTCACCTACTGAGTTAGCAGAAGAGCCGAGTCAAATCCCCAGCTTTCCAGATTCAGTGTTCTTTCCATTTGGCCACCTGTGGCATCAGAGCTTGGATTATCTTCCCTACTTTAATCAGTGTAGGCCATTAAGCTGGATATGTTGAGCCCTCAAGTAAATATGAAGTGTTTGATTCCATACTGCTCATGTCTCACTTAAAAATAACTGTATTTCCTTTTAGAAAATCCTATGTTGAATTTTAAAAAATTACAAACTGTGAAGGAGGTAGCCAGTTGACGACAATTGTAATGCATCCCTGTAGTCAATGAAGTAGGAACCTCCAGTAGTCTAACAATAAACTTTCCCAGTAAAAGGAGTTTTTATTACATAAAAAATAGAAAATACAGTAAAGAAGAAAAAAAAGAAATCATTGTCTCATTATGCCGACGCACCCACTACTAGTACTGTAGTACGTTTCTTTTTTCCTTTTTTTAGGTATACTTATTTTTATAGCTGTGGTACAGTTTTGTTCCTTGCTTTTGTCATCAACATCAATATTTTTCAGGTTATTAAAAACTCCTTGAAATCACCATTTTTAATGGCTGCTTCTCATGCCATCAGGTGGATGTAGATAATTTCTGTGATAGGGACAAAATACCAGGGCTTCGAACCTGTTCATGCAGGTCTGAACTCTTGCTGAGAATTTGCATTTCTAACAAGTTCCCTGATGAGAATTTGCATTTCCATATCAGATATACTGAATCAGAATCTACATTTTAACAAGATCCCCAGGTGATTCTTATGTATAACTTCCTGGAAACTTGTTAGAAATGAAATTCTCACCAGGAAACTTGCAGAAATGCAAATTCTCAGCAGGGGTTCAAACCAGAACGAATCCAGTTTGGAAGCCCTGCAAAATATTAACATATTAGAATTTGCAATGTTTCCTCGTTTTGCTTCACCCTCCCCTTTTAAAAGGGGGCTCCTTTGCACAGCTCAGCTCTGTGGTGTTTGCTATGCTGAGCAACGTGATGAATGGAGATGCAGACCAGAAGAACTTGTACTACATAAGGGCACAGAACCACCCCGGAGGAGAGAAGAGAAGACCTTGGACAGGAGAGCTGGGAAGGAAGGATAGCTGGGAGGAGACAGATGACCAGGGACAGAAGTTTGGAGAAGTGGTAATCTAGGGAGAGAGAGATATACCTAAATGTGAATTTTAGGAAGGACTGCTCAGTTTTGTGATGTAGTCTCTTCCTTTCCCACCAGCCACCTCCTCAAGAAATCTTCAGTAAAACCATACATTACTTTACAATGCTTCTTGGGGTCAGATTTCTATGCCCAGACTGGCCACAAAATAGCCAAGTATATTTAATTTACATCTGCTTAATCCTACAGTTGGATTTCAGATTTAAGACTTTTTAAAATCTGTAATTCTTTATCAGTGTTTACTGAAGTTCATTTTTACCACTCAAAAGGAGTTCTAAAAGCTAGAAAAAAAGTTAAGTAAATCATACCTGGTAAAAGCTGGCTTTTATTGTCAGTAGCATTTTTATCTAGCTTGTTCTTGGTCTGAAGAGCAATCATTTCATCCAAGTTTTCTGGAGGGAAGAGAGAAAGAAGTACAATTTTATTTTCTGAAAGATATTATCAAACTTTCACTAACAACATGTAAATCTGCCAGAAATACCACAATAGCAATTCCATAACAGTCACACTCCTACTCAGATGACTGGACCTTGACTTTATTTCTGAGAATCACAGACTCTGGAAAGTCACACAGTTGGAGATCCTCAAGTTCAGCCTCCTCTAAGTTCATTGCAGAAGTCCTTGCCACTGCTGGCACAATCCCAGCAATGGTACCTGTAGTGAACACCTGTGGTTTTGACTTACTCAACATCTTTTGGTTACTGCACCTTGATTTTCCTTCGGAGAACTCAGCCCTCTCCCACTCTCACACATCTGACTCCATCAGTGGCCGCATAACCTAGGCCTAGCTAATCAGGGTCTTCTAGCTCCCTGGCTATAGTGATTGGTTCAAGCCTAAGCATATGACCGAAGCCAGTCAAAGAGACTCAATGACAGAACCATTGGGAGAAAGAGGCTCTCTTTCCACGGGATTGCTATACTGTGAGGATGTGAGATTGCAGCCGTCCAGGTGAGTGATTCTAATTACCTAGATAATTCAGGCTCTTCTGGCATAAATTATCGAATTAGTGAGGTAATTATTGCCAAATCTCTAATTCAGTTTGAACAATGAAAACAACTACAGTATAAACAAAACAGACAGAACTCTCACCAAGGTAAGAAACGCCTTCTTCTGGAGATATTGTGCCATATTTTACCATCATCTTCACAAAGTCAATCAATGTTTTCATAATAGTAATCAGTGTTTCTTTCTCTTTTGCCTCTTTTTCTATATAAAAAGACAAAATAATTAAATAAAAACTAGTGGAATACAGCTCATCTTTCAATGTCAGCTTATGAAGTACCGTATCTTATTGAAGTATTTCTCGCTACATTTATAGCTAAAACCACATGTATTTAATTTACAAAAAGTCTTAAGACTTAATTGGGAATGCAGAACAATGTTTGCATACTAACCTTTCTCCCCAAAAATGATCAATTATAACTTCGTCAAGGTTTAATTAATCTAAAAGATTTTATTAATAGATAAAGAGACACTTTTCAATCCAAGAGAATATGAACTCAAAAAAGAAGACTGGTGTTCCAATAACTTTCCTCTACTTGGGCCATTGAGTAGTTGAGGGCAAGAAAAAAGTGTCCAATGGCATCTTTTGAAACCAATGATATGCTCAGGACAGACCTGAAGAGTAAGAGAATAGCTACATGGGATGTAGTCATTAATTAACCTTAATATATGAAAATAAGAACACACGTGCATTTTTATTTTTAAAATGGAAGGTTGATTTTTTTAATAGTAGCATATATTCCTATTTAAACTCTATTTTATTTAAAAGAATATATGCATATAGTAAAAATATTCCAATAGTACCAACCAAACTTGTTGCCGTTGAGTCAATTCCGACTCATAGCAACCCTAAAGGACAGAAGTAAATAAAAGTGAAAAGATTCTCTTCCTTACTCTCACTTCAACTCCTACTCCCTATTTAAAAAAAAAAAAAAAAAACCCTCTGCTCTCCAGTCGATTCCAACTCATAGCAACCCTATAGGAAACGGTAGAACTGCTCCATAGGGTTTCCAAAGCTGTAAATCTTTATAGAAGCAGACTGTCACGTCTTCCTCCCACAGAGTGGCTGGTGAGTTGGAACCGCCGACCTTTCAGTTAACAGCCGAGCGCTTAACCACTGTGCCACCAGGGCTCCTTTCTATTCCCTATAGGTAACCACTATTAACAGTTTCTTGTAAACCCTTCATATTTGGCATAGTTACCATGAAGAGGGATTTTCCTCACCTTTTCATCATCCCCACAGATGTGGCTGGTGGGCAATAGCCATTAGTCTATATTTCTCAGCTGATGAGGGATTTGGAATCTTTCTTCTCCCTGTTCCCCTAGAACAGTGGAAGGCAGGGACCTGGGGGACATGCCTAATCTACAGACTCAAACTTTCCCTGGGACTGGCTGTTCCAAGGTCTAGACTGAGGAGCAGGGAGTGGGCAAGCCCATTTTTGGCTCTCACACTAAGCTATAACACAGCTTTTATCAGTAATACAGATGATATTTTGAGTTTCGACCTGGTTTATTATTTCTCAGTTGGTTCAGATCTTTCTCAAAACCCTTGAGAAGAATGAATGTTGTCAAAGACCTCAGTATAAGTATTTAAATTAAAATTCTAGAAAAATAAATGCAATAAGGAATAGCATGAAGGTAATGGCAAGATAAAAACAAATAAAGGACATGAAGTACAGTAGAATTAAAAAAAAAAAACAACTCATGGTTGGGAGGGAGGAAAGGTAAGAGAAGAGGTGGGGCAAAAGTGGTTGGAAAAGTGTAGCAAATGATAACTTCAGCCATGACATTTGCCCAAGGTCACATCTGTATCAGTATTTGATATTGCACCGATGCCCTTTATGGACAAGAAGTGACTCACCAGGATGACAGAGATTCTGAGCTGGGCACCTGCCAATCAATGGGGCAAGATGGCTCAGGATGAAGCCTTAAGATGTACAAACCTTGCAAGCACCAGCAGAGGGCCTGGTGCCATCTGGCTAACGTCTGGAATTGAAGGACAATGGATGTTCTCCAGAAATGAAAGCTCACTCTAAGGTTACTTTATGGACAAATATTTGACAATTACAGTAACATCATACACATGTTCATTTGGGGGCTGAATCTTTGAACGTGGAGAGGAAAAGTCACTAAGACAGTACAGGGATCTGCCTGGACAATAACAACAGAAACTGCCCATTATGACCCTCCTCACAGACTAGCCAAAAATAAACATGAACTGAAATCCTTAGGAAAAAGAGCAAGACACATTAACGACTTTATTTTCAGAAATCAAATAATTATCCAAGTATGTTTTGGGCTCCTGACCTCCTTTAGACCAATGTCCTCCACTTTAACTCATTTGAAGGCTGATGCTAAAAATGTCTACAAAGCAACATCCTGAATCATCTAAAAAAGGATGTTATGTTCCACGTACTGATTCCACTAAGGGAGGAAAATTAATGAAGACTTTTAAAACAAAAATTGCAATAAGAGTTGGGGTTGAACCGGGTAAGGGAAGAGACACTGTCTGATTCAATCACGTATCTGTACAAGGTTCACTCCGGTACCTTGTATGCAGCACATGTTCAGTAACTATTGAAAAAATAAATGAATCTTCTGTCAACAAGAACATTAAATTATCCAGAAACTCCACCTTTCCTGAATATTTCCATGACTAATACATGTCTTTAAAAAAATAAAAATCGATGTGAGCTATTTTCCTGAGCCCACAGTGTGTGTCACTGAAGACTGCATTTAGAAACTGAAAACAGAACACACACACACACTCCCACACATTTCCTGGAATAGCTGTTTCTGTTCCACATGGTCAGAAACAAGTGATTACCTGAATCAATGCTTTTCAGTAATGCATAGAAGTTTGGGAAATATTGGAGTTCCTCAAAGTTGTCTTCACTGTAGGTTTTAGTTCTCCTTTCCAAGCCATTCATCAAGGTTAAGGTGTTAGATACTGTTTCATCATTTTCTCCATTAGTAAAACCATCTTGAATTGTTGCCAGTGGAGTCTCCAGTGGGAAAAGAAATGATAAAAAATATTTTGTTAGAACTAATGGAACTCCAGCTCGATTTTTTCTTCTGTGGTGCCCTTGAATGTAAAGTGCAAGAATGCCTCCTCCTTTGCAAGCTCCTGCAGGTTCAAACCCTTCTCTAGGCATGTGGTCATCCAGCCACATGGAAAAGTATGCAGGCAGGGACTTAGGGAGAGGCATCCATCTCCAGGAAAACCCCTATAGACCCTGGATCCTTCTCTGGTGAGAATAGATAGGGAATTTCTAGTTTCCTGCACCAGTCAAGTCCCCTCCTTCAGTTCTCCTGAGTCTCTCCTCATAAAACTGCCTTTCACCGAGGAGGGGAACTTTGAGTTCATAGACTATCCCAAGAGGGATAGTGCCACAGTACAGGAGAGCCTGCCAGAATGTCTAACACTAGCAGAACAGTGACACTTTAAGGATTTTTTGGTGACATTTTAAGGGCTCTCTGGAAGGTTATACAAGACTCCCAGACTTGATCCTTGTCTTATGTTCCCTATCTTAGTGAATGGCCTATTCTCAACTCAGTGAACTAGACAGGAATCTAACAGCCTCTCTTGCCTCTTCTTCTTCCTTCCCCCATCCAACCCACCAGTAGCTCAGTTGATCTACTTTCAAAATTCATCCCAAATTTGTACACATCTCTCCTTCTCCCCTATTCCACACTAGTCCAGGCTGCCTTCATCTCTCACCTTCTAACTGGTATGCTACCCACCTTCAATCCATTCCCCACACAGCATTCTCCCCATTGTAGCCAGAGTTATCTTTCAAAAAATCTGATCATGTAGCTCATTTGCTTAAAATATTTCTGTGTTTTCTTATCACTTCCGATAAAGGTCAGAACTCACATATATGTCTCACAAGGCCCTGCATGGTCTGCCCTGGATCTGCCTTTCCAACCTCATCTCTCATAACTCTCTGTGTACCATCACACTATCCTTGCTTCTGTTGCTTGGGTACCCCATACATCCATCTCTACATGCTGCCCCTCAGGTTCATGATTCAGCCTTCAATTCTCAGCTCAAGTCACTTCTCTGAGCCTAAGTCCATGAAAAGTTCCGTTTTAAAAGGGCTTATAGAACCACATTTCTTTCTTCAAAGAACTTAATGCAGCTGTAATTAAAATAGTATGACTATTTGAAGAACATCTACCTCTTCCACTAGACCATTAGCTTCATGAGCAGGGATTATGTCTTTTTAAATGAGCAGCACATCAGCTTGGGAGCCCTAGTGGCGCGGTGGTTAAGAACTACAGCTGCTAACCGAAAGGTCTCAGCAGTTCGAATCCACCAGCTGCTCCTCAGAAATCCTACAGGGCAGTTGTACTCCGTCCTATACAGTTGCTATGAGTTGGAATCCACTTGACAGCAACGCTTTTTTTTTTTTTTTTAACATCAGTTTGATACACAGTACCCAATATTTGTTGAAAGAATAGGATAATTAATGCATTTAGATAACATGAGTGAACAGTTCAAGCATATGGACATTTTAGAATGGGTGAATAAGGAAGACATAATGGGAGTGAGGGATCATGAAAATAGCTACGTCAGTTTCAGCTTGAGTGAAAGTTATGAGTTCTTTGATAAATCTAGAAAGATATGAGTGGGTGGACCTTCAAAAGCTATTAAAAAGGTAGCAGCTGGTGGGAATAGGAAGTAGGGAGAGCAAAGAGAGCTTTTAGGCAGGGCTTTGAACTGGTTCATTCCAATTCGAACCCCTGCTAAGAATTTGCATTTTTAACAAGTTCCCAGGTGATGCTCATGCTGCTGGTTAGGGACCAATTCTGAGAACCAACAGTAGAGCAGTGGTTCTCAAAATCTATTATACGTAAGAATCACCTGGGGATCTTGTTAAAATGTAGATTCTGATTCAGTATATCTGGGGTGGAAATGCAAATTCTCAGCAAGGGTTCAAGCCAGTTCGAAGCCCTGTTTTTAGACCATCTAGTAAAAACTTCAGAGTCAATTTCTGCTTTTTCCTACCTTCCTCTAAAACAGGACCATAAGCCTATTAACTTTTTTTATTCTTTCTGTATTTGGGATAAGGTTTATATATATTAACTTATTGGCAGTTCGTGAATATACACTTTAAGTGGGTAAAAATGCCACATCCCCCAAATCTTCTTTGGCACCAAGCAACGTGTTAATTATATAAAGACACAAGTATACCCATGCACACATAAACACACACACATCATCTACACATACATTTACATAGCCATACCGCTTTCTCAGGGATTTTCCCAGCCTGGCTCTCAGTTCTGCTTGTGGGTTTATTGGGCTCCTCCTCATAATTGTTGGCTTCCTTTGAGATTAATTTTTGTAAAACCTCTGCTACTTCATCTTCCAGTGTGTGTGCCTGGTTTTCTGTGATCTGTTATAAAGAGGCAAAACATATATAACTGCTATTTCCATTTTTGTGATTTCAAAAAATATCTAGACTGAACTCTGTAGTTGAACACATCTTTTTAAAGGAGGGGAGAATCTTCTGCACCCTCTTTCTGGAAAGCACTCATTTATGCTTCTTCTATATGCTGGCTGTTATAGGGGCTACTCAGCACTCCTAGGCAGAAGTGTCTTTGGGCCCACCATTGCAGGTGGTCAGTCCCTTCTGTTGGAGCCCTTGGACCATTTACTTTGAGAAACAGCTTAAGAGTTGCCCCCTGGACAGCTGCAGATCACAGGTGACCTTTGAAACCCCACAAAGTTAGCACCCTCCTAAAGCCTGCCAGGGCTACGTCAGGGCTGGTGGGCCAAGCTAAGGTGGGGTCAAATTGGATTGTCTGGCGTGTCGCAAACACACATTATGTGCCTTTGTTCATGTTATTTCCTTCTCACTACACACACGTCTTTTACTTCTACTGGTTAAAATCCTACCATTTCAAGCACCTCCTCGTCTGAAGCCTTTCCTTACTGCCCAACTGGATACAACCCATCCTCTTGCATGCTGAACTGCTCTTACGGGTCTTACACAGCTTGCGTGCGGTTGTGTGTGTGTTGGTCTCGTTCCTCTGACAGACCATAAACTGCTAGAGGGAAAGAATAGTACCTTACTTGTCCTTGAAATCTACTGAGCCTAGTACAAAATAGAAGCACTGTAAACATTTGGGTACTTGAATCAAGTGGCTTGGCTTCTTGGCATCCTCCAAACTGTACTAAGAATTTAATTTACTCTCATACATATGACTTACTAGGCCAAGATTCAGCAGTTTAGAAACAATCTTGTCAAACACTCCTCTGTCATTTTCCTCATAAATCCTGGTAGCAATTTTCTGAACAATGTCTTCAGCAGTTAGAGGAGTTCCATCTAGTTGATGAAGGCCATCTGGGTCATCTAGACAGAGCAACCACAATTTCACATCATAGTGATCACAGACCTATTTCATGGATCATATTCTATTTATAATCTATACTTCATTCATGTACATATCTTTGGATTATAGGTATGGTGGTGTTTGGTCTGCATAAACTCTTGCTTTGAATTAGACTTCAAGTTAAGAAACTAGGACAATAATGGACACTTTGAAATATTAGGTGATTTTAAGAGGAAGGAAGAGCAGAAAACAATACAAAAGACCCCTCCATTTATTATTATCACTAATAATACAATTTTTATATTATTTATTTATATTATTTTGATAGTATGCTGTATTTATATAGTATGCCACATAGTTCAAAATACCTTCTATACATTATATAATGTGATATTTCATTTCTGTGCAGAGAGTAGATCGGTAATATTCCCTACATGTACTCCCTTTGCAGGCAAACTCCTTGGCTAGGGGTGGAGGAACATGCTTCAAACCTAGAATTAGAGAACATGTACTGAAGATTTTATGACTTACCTGGAGTAAATATTTACTTCTAATTGAACATGTGTCAGAGTGCCTTTATGTAAGGGAGCTTAATGTGACAAGCCTTGCTCTCCAGAGAATAGGGAACTTATTTTTTTTTTATGTGTCTAGAATTCAAACTTTTTAAATGTGGCAACAGATTTGTGCAAAACAATATGTAAATCTTTGCAGAGAAGCATGCAAATATGTATGCATCCTTGGGAATACATTTGGCAGCACTAATTCAGACTAAGGCAAGGCTGATTATGAGAGAAAGAGGACACAGGATGGGATGTGGCAATGAAGCACTGCACTAAATCCATGGAGAATTACCAAGAATCAGTTGGTCTTTTCCAATCTATACTACATCAAACAGATCAAGTGTACAAGGCACTTAACTTTCTGTCACCTCTAGGCAGATGGGAAAAAATCAGAATTTTATCCCCAGTGAAGCCTCTTGTTATCTATATGTCCTTGGACCCGTATAAGGAGAATAATGAGAATATCTATTTCATGGGGTTGTTGTGAGGATCAGATGAAATAAGAAGTAAAAGCACCTTGTAAATTGCAAAGCACTATATAAAAGTCAATGCGTTATCTTCTAGAGAAAATGGAAGTTGAACTCCTGGCCAGATTCTACCCAATTAATCTTCATTCACTCAAAAAAAGAAAGACTCGATAGTCCTGTTCAGACCTTGTTCTTTTCTTCCATGGCTTCGGGGATTCAGAGCAAGGAAGTTCTCCCTTGGTTTCTCCAGACTCTATGGAGATAGAGGTGTGAGCAGCCACAGGCAGAACATCGTCCTTGGGTTGTTTGGAAAGAAGCTTAAGGGAAATGAGAGAGGTGACTATACCCAGAGAACTGGAAGTTCTCAGACTCTGTATAACAGCTAAGTTGTTGGCCAACCCATGAGCTGAGAGCCCTGTGTATATCAGAGTGACAAATGAGCAGAAAAGCCCCTAAGAAAAAAACATAACATCAGGTCCCCTCCTGGCTGGCTGAGAATTAGTTTCATCATCTATTTTTCAGGAGCACCCTCAATATTATTTAGGTATGATTTTTCCATTTGTGGGCTGGAAGTTAGGCTCTTGGGAATATGTGGAGCAGAAACTGCCCGGGTATATGCAGAGGTGGAATAATTTATTTCCCTTCCTACTAATCCCTCAGGATCTGAAAAAGGAAGAATATTGGTTGCCTGCTGGTCCTCGAAAATAACTGAAATGACTTTTTCAGTTCATTTACTTCACAACAGGGAGAATGTTAGCAACATGCCAAAAAAATAGCCTTTCCTCCGTTCACTGCTGTGTTCTCTTGCACCAGGATCTTGGGCACCTCCCCTATCAGAGCTCTGGTAGATGGGTTAATAGTGGAGCACCTGGGTGTTTCTTCCACTGGTTTCCCCTGACTCTTCTAGCATGGATGGAGTTACTCATAATGACTTCCCTACTGCTCATGAGGGCTGTTTCACCCTCCTCAGAGAGAAGCCAAACAAGGGTTCAACATTTATAACTTCTGCTAAGTACCCACGATATTCTAAGTGGATGTCAAAGGGCCATGTCTCAAATCATCATCTGCCTAGTTATGTTTTGAATCCCCAGTATCTAATATGACACTTGGCACTGATTTATTCAATAAATTTTTATTGAAGTCTTAATATTTACCAGACACTGGAAATAGAGTGGTGAATAGGTTCAGCATGGTCCCTGACTTCATGGAGCTCACTGTCTAGTTGATAGTTGGTACATAATAATTACTTAATAAATATTTGTTGGGTAAATGCACACAGGAGCACCAAAGCACCACATAAAAGAAACTTGGGAAAATCCTGAATCACTCATACTATAGTGAATGCTGAAAAGGAAGGAGACTTTGTGAGTCCCACAGCCCAAGCCCTTTGGAGTTTTACCAAAGGTGTGACTAGGTCTGGAAAAGCACCCTCACCCTCCCTTCTGGGATGCAAGTATACATGCCTCTGGCATTCTATTCACCTTGGTGGTCCCAATCTCTCTGATATTGGGACTTCTAAGATGTGAGGGGAAACCAGAAGCTCACCCATAAACCATTCTCTCTAAGAACCTGGGCCCAGCTTCTCTGATCTCAGGTAGAGTTACATGACTCCTAGGGTAAACCTAGAACTATCAGGACTACTTGGTACTTCTGAAACCACTTGGGATAGTGATAATTTGTTGAACAAATTAAAAATAAGTTGCCCAAGTTGGTGGCCAAATCACAAACAGATCTGTGCTTCGCCTGAGTGCACAATCAGTTTGACCAGTCAGTTCAGTCAAACAAACATTAGACTAATTTTTTTCTTCCTAAATCAAATGGTCAGTTCAGTCAAAGTAGTTGAATCTATTTTTGTATGCAGATATGCCCAGTCTCTTCTGATTTCTAGTCCAAGTATTTAGGTTGAAAAGTAGAATTCAAGATTAAAAAACAAACAATTTCCCTGAGCAGCACACAATATGAAATATGTCAAAACATAAACCATCACTTCCACCTCATCCCACACACATACAATATACTTCTGAACTTTCCTCAGGCTATGATGTCCTAAGGAAGGACATTTCATTAGCACTTGTTTTCTGGCAGAGATAATCAGCATAATTCTCTTGTGGCTGGGGAACAAAATAAGGACATATAAGAAAACTTGTAGTCACACCTAAGCACTGGTCCACAAAATGGAAAACACACTTCCTTCCTCAATGTCTAGATACAGCAGTTCGTTTATTCCCGCATGTATTCTTTCATTTGTCATTGATTCATTCACAAATCCATTCAATGGATTCATGAGCTTCCAGATACTGAGGTTACAACATCCGTTTTCTCGTAAAATTTTCGGTTTAGTTTTGGAGAGACACTGAGTTTAGTTTGGAGAGAGATACACGTAAGAATGTAAAATTGCACATCACAATAAGTACCACCAGGAAATGGTACAAGGTTTCTATCAGATCATGTGGGCCAGATGAACCCAGAGATATAGACAGGAGCCAGTCCATGCAGGGCAACGGAAGCCATATCAAGGATTTTGGTGTTCATCCTGAGAGAAACGTGAATATACTAAAGGGTTTTATGTAAAAGAGTGACATGTTCATTATTTGTGTACTGAAAAGATCACTCTGGCTGCTACATGAAGAATGAGTTGGAGAGGGGCAGAGTAGATGCTGGGAGGTCTGTTAGAAGACTTTGCTGTGGTTCAAGTGAGACACGATTGTAATTTGGACTAGGATGGTGGTGATTTGGGATAGAGAGAAGACTTGAGAGATACAGAGGAAGTAAAATGGATAAGATTTGGTGGACTGGATTGAGAGATAAGGGGAAGAGAAAACAAGAGTTAGTTTGACTCCCAGGTTTCTGCCTTGAAGACTGGATGGAGAGTAGTGCCCTTCCTAGGAAAAGAGCACTATAAGAGGACTAGTTGTGAGGTGGACATAGATACTGAGTATAATCTTGGACACGTTAAGTTGGAGGCACTTCTGAGACATTTAAGGGAAAATATTAAGTAGACAGATACAGAGGTCTATACCTCAGAGAAGTCTGGGCTGGTGACATGGGACAGCGGATGGCAATTGAGGTTTTGGACAATGTTAAGATGGCCTTGGGAGAAAGGATATAGCTAGAGGAACATGGAAAAGGAAATAATGGATGTTTTTGACCTTTTGGGGGGCATTTTATTAATTTAATTATTTGAAATTATGATATTTTGTTTGCACTAATGGTTAAAATAAATCAGAATCTTAAAATGAATTCAATAACAAAAATAGAGAGTAGATTTTTAAAGTTTCCAAACCATCATTAAAAAAATCTTTGAAGAGAAAATAAAACTTGGGCCTCTGGAACTGGGGCTTTGTACCAGGGCTTCAAACCAGTTTGCTCTGGTTTGAACCCCTGTTGAGAATTTGCACTTCTAACAAGTTCCCAGGTGATGCTAATGCTGCTGGCTAGGGACTGTTATGGATTGAACTGTGTCCCTCAAAAATGCGTGTCAACTTGGATAGGTCATGATTCCCCGGTATTGTGTGGTTGTCCTCCATTTTGTGATCTGATGTGATTATCCTATGTGTTGTAAATCCTAACCTCTATGATATTAATGAGGCAGGATTAGAGGCAGTTATGTTAATGAGGCAGGGCACAATTTACAGGATTAGGTTGTACCCTGAGTCAATCTCTTTTGAGATATGAAAGAGTCAAGCAGAGAGGAGACGGACCTCATGCCACCAAGAAGGAAGCCCTGAGAACACAGAGCTTCCTTTGGACCCAGGGTCCCTGTGCTGAGAAGCTCCAAGACCAGGGGAAGATTGATGACAAGGACCTTCCCTCAGAACCGACAGAGAGAGAAAGCCTTCCTCTAGAGCTGGCAACCTGAATGTGGACTTCTAGCCTCTTCAGCTGTGAGAGATTAAACTTGTGTTTGTTAAATCCATCCACTTGTGGTATTTCTGTTACAGCAGCACTAGATAACTAAGACAGGGACCAAGTCTGAGAACCACTAGGTAGAGCAGTGGTTCTCAAAATTTATTATACATAAGAATCACCTGGGGATTTTGTTAAACTGTAGATTCGGATTCAACATATCGGGGGTGGAAACGCAAATTCTCAGCAGGGGTTCAAACTGGAATGAACTGGTTCAAATCCTTGCTTTATGCCTTACCAGTCAATTTGGGCTTTATCTCAGTTTTGGACTTGACTAATACAGGATTATGAGTGTAGAAGAGATATTTTTAAAATATAGGATTCTCTCTTAATCAAAAATAGGGAACTCCAAATTAGAGAATATACGTAACAAAAAGTTATTTTTTTCCTCATTTACCTTGAAATTTATGATCCAGCCCACTTTTAGTAGAATCATAATCATCAATTACTCTTCGATTCTTGGTTGAATCAACATCGTCCACATTCAATTTATTATCATATGGGGAGCTTCTTATGGATTGTTTTTCCTTCTCAATTTTTTGTTTTTCTGTTATTGCCTTTAGTAGGGTCAAGTTATCAGCAAAGGAATAATTGCTTTCTCCTGCGTTGTTTTCTGGATGAAAAGCCCCCAAACCCAACATGTGATTTTAGTTAAGATACTCTAGGCCTACATTATTTAAATTAATAGAAATATAAATAAAAATTAAATTAAAAGAACTTTTACCTGGTGGGTATATATTTTTAATCTTTTCTGCTTCAGCAATCTGTGAAGTAGAGAGGGGATAAACTGAATTTTAAATCATTGCTCCAGTATTTACCAACTGTCACATTCAAATGATTTAACCTCCATGGGACTTAGTTTTCTCAATTATAAAATGTAGACAGAAATTTCTTTCTCAAAGCTTTGTTGTAAGAATTAAATGAGATAAATTAAAGTGCAGATACTCTGTAAATATTAACTCTTTTCTTCTTATAATATCGGAACAGCTAAATCTCCGGTAAATTAAACCATCTTACAATAGAGTGGATGTGATGTTGAGCTAACTGGGTTAATACAGAGCCAGCTCTATGTATTATATAGAACAATGTATATAACTCTCAGGGCATAGAAATTACCAAGATTATATTTATCATCTTATTTTCTGTAAATTTACTATTAAGGAAATAATAGCATTTATAATTTCACTTTTGACCTACCTGTTCATTCAAAGGTCTTTCTGCACTTAATTGTCTATTATGTATGGATTTGTCTAGAGTAAAACACACAAATATAAATTTAATTGTGCATTAGGAAGACACAATGTCTCTAATTAATAAAACCTTTTAAAAAAGAAAAAGAAATATTAGGAGAAAGATTGTTGGATGAGTACGAAACATAAATATATATTAACGAAGATGATCAAGATTATACAATAACAATGATTATCAACGTTGCCTTGCTTATCCTAGTGTATTTCCTGAGTTAACAGAATCACACTTCTTTTGTTCTGACCAAATATCTAACATTTAGTTCTAAAACTTGACTTACTAGCTGTTCTCAAGTAGCCAGAACATAATTTGAATTGGTATTATTGGCAAACTAAGAGGTCCTTCATCATCCACTGCACACGATATGAATAGAATATCTGAGAAAGGTTGTAAAACAACTAGAAAAAAATCCAAGCTGCTTTATTAGGCAGAAAAGCCACATCCCCCCTTTTCAAAATAAGATATTTCAAAACAACCCATGTTTTTACTCTATCATTTAAAAAGTGAGGGGGAAAAATATACCTTGGGTCTCTAAATTCCAATAGATTTCTCTGTCAATATGCATGGATATGATTTGATTGGAAAATGAGACAAGCTGATTTACAGCTCACGGATTATGTCAAACTTTACCTTTTCACGGAGAAATGAGGAGGACGGAAGAAAACTGTGCACATACCTTGGCTGCCTCCCGGTTTGGGGAAAGCTTGAACTGGGCTGTAGAGTACCAACATCATAATCCAGGTGCCAGTCCAAAGGAGCCCCATTCTGCCACGCTTGGCGCCGGGCTCCCGAGCTGTAGCTTTTGTTATGAATGAAAAGGAGGACTAAAAACAGGAAGCGCCAGGTGGGCGGATGCGGGCGGGGAGAGTAGCCGGGAGGTCTGTCTGCGCGGCTGAGGAGAGATGGGGTTAGAAAGGCTCGAGAAGCTCGGGAGTCAGGTCTTCAGGTGGAGGAGAGCGCTGTCCGCCCCGTGAGTGCTGAAGTTCTGTGACTCGAAGCCGACCGCTGGTCCGCCAGGGCGTAGCCTCCTTCTCACCTCCCTCCTTGAGAGGAAGTGAGGAAGGAAGCGCATGCTCCCAGCAAGCCAGGGGCGAGAAGGGATGGCGTCAGCGACTCCAGCGCTACTCCAATCCCCCGGGAATGGAAAGGAGGTGGGGGCGAGAGACCGGCTGGCGTATTTGCCGTGCCGCAGTTCAGGGTCAGCTGGACTGCCGTAAACTAGGACATCATTGTCGTAAACTGCCAAGTAAACCTTACTTTACCAGAGAAAAAGCGAATGCTTTTTATGCTGGTGCACCTGCCAAGATGACCTTGTGCGAAAGGCTCTGCGTTGGGATTATTCTTCTGGCATATCTGCTCCAGAATCCCTTCTTTCCATTCCACCTCTTTTACCCAAAAGGTAGATATGATTCTTACATCCTTAGAAGAGCCCTGTCTTTTTGTGGGTTGGGTTGACATGCCAAGCGTCCCTTGGCGCTCTTATTTGTGTCTCCACTCTGTGGAGTCTTTTTTGAATTGAGAAGTTCAGGGAACATTCTTTCAGATAATCAGACTGCTGCAACACACTCTCGTTCTTCCAGATGCTGAAACAGACAACAAATTATTGAGTGTTCCCCTAAGAGTGACTGTCTTCACCAGTCCTGGGAAGGTGAGCAACAAGGACCAGGTTCATTCTGAAATTTCCCCTCTTTCCCACCCCTCCTTAAAAAAATAGGAAGAAGAAGAAGGCTGCATTTCTGTAAAATTCTTACCCGGGATTCAGTCATGTCTAAAGACCTGCATATTCCAGGGGTCTTTCAAGAGAGAGGATAATAATGAAAAGACATTTTCATTATAGCTAGTCAGGGAGGTGCTTTGTATATTCTGAGAATATTCCCATAAACCTAAGACTGTTTCATACAAGGAGCTACCAAAATGATGAATATAAGCTACACTAATATGAGTTTATAACGTGTGCTGAGTAAGCTCTTTAACCCCTGATATTTAAACAAAGCTTGGACTCTTTCCTTTGGACTGCAGCATGCTGGGAACCAGTCTGAATAATGACCAAAGAGAAGGAGTCTGCACAATTGGGCCTTTGATTCCATACCTCTGCTTTTCAAAGAGCAAGTTAGTCATTCAAATACTTAACAATAAGCAAACAAATCTCCCTCACTCTGGAGGGTTTGAAAATCACTCAGTATTGCCTTTCAGAATTTAAGGAGTACTTTTAAATCTAACAACGACTTCAAAACAAATAGCTGCTCTTAGCGGTGATAAAATAGCATTATTAGCCCAGTATACTGAATTTTAAAAAGTTAAGTCACACTTAAAAATCCCAGCTAAGTAAAGATAAATATCCTTCATTTCCTCTTCTCTAAAAGAGAAATGACAAGCTCAGTTTACTTGACACTGTTGTTGTTGAGATTAAATGAGTACATGTTTTAATCAAGCCATTTTGATGTCATTAATATTTTGACACAGCCTAAAAATTAGTCATTAAATGTTTTCATCTTTTAGGAAATGTAACCCAATATTGTGTAATAGCTATTCACTGGCCTGGAGAGTCACATTGTCACTTATCTAATCCCTCAGTGTCTTAGTTATCTAGTGCTGCTGTAACAGAAATACCATCAGTGGATGGCTTTAACAAAGAGAGATTTATTCTCTCACAGTCTAGGAGGCTAAGTCCAAATTCAGGGTGTCAGCTCCAGGAAAGGCTTTCTCTCTCTGTTGGCTCTGGGAGAAGGTCCTTGTCGTCAATCTTCACTAGTCAAGGAGCTTCTCAGAGCTGGGACCCTGGGTCCAGAAGGACATGTGCTGCTCTTGGCGCTACTTTCTTGGTGGTATGAGGTCCCCATGTCTCTCTGCTTGCTTCTCTCTTTTATTTCTTAAAAGAGATTGATTTAAGACATGACCTAATCTTGTAGATTGAGTCCTGCCTCATTAACATAACTACCACTAATTCCACCTCACTAACATCATAGAGGTAGGATTTACAACACATAGGAAAATCACATTAAATGACAAAATGGTGGACAATCACACAATACTGGGAATCACAGACTAGCCAAGTTGACATACACTTTTGTGGGAGGGATGCAATTCAATCCGTTACACTCAGCCTCACTTTACCCTTTGTCCCATTCCTAACTCATCCTCCACTCAATAAATGTTTGTAATTAGGAGAAGCTCAAGATGGAATAAAGGTAAGGGATAGCTATGGAGTACATGCATGGCTAGCCAAAAATAAAAAGTAATTTTGGCCATTTTCTGCCGTTTGAATTTAAGGTGACTGTGTTTAAATGTCCACACTAAATTTATGAATCAGATGTTATGTTTCTGATCTAACGAGTAAGGTATAAATTAGCTTATGTTCTTCAATTTTATGGATTTTCTCACAGGATTTAATATAGATCTATGACTAGATTGCTCCTAAATTTCATTCATTCGTTTAATAAATGTTTATTGAGAACTTGCCAGGTCTTGAGATAATTGCTAGGTATACAAAGACCAGTAGTACGTGGTCACTACTAGACTTAGAGCCTAACCGAGAGAAAGGACTGTGTCTATAGCAACACAGCAACAACCATTTAGTGAATAGGTTTCATATGCTACACGTAGTTCTAGGTATTTTAGCTCAAAAACTCATTTAAATATAAGTAAATGAATAGGCAAAAGAGAGTGTTATGGGTCTCTTGTATGTGCAGAGTTCAGTGGGGGTTCAAACAATGGAATGAATGGTCAGTGTTATGGATTGAATTGTGTCCCCCCAAAATGTATGTCGACTTCGCTAGGCCATGATTCCAAGTACTATGTAGCTGTCCTCCATTTTGTGATATTATGTAATTGTCCTATGTGTTGTAAATACCAACCTCTCTGATGTTAATGAGGAGCCCTGGTGGCGCAGTGATTAAGCATTCGGCTGCTAACCAAAATGTTGGCAGTTCAAATCCACTAGCTGCTCCTTGGAAACCCTATGGGGCAGTTCTACTCTGTCCTACAGGGTCGCCATGAGTCAGAATCAACTCAAAGGCAATGGGTTTTATGATGTTAATGAGGCAGGATTAGAGGCAGTAATGTTAATGAGGCAAGATACAATCTACAGAATTAGGTTGTATCTTTTATAAAAAAAATGTTTTTATCGTGCTTTAGATGAAGGTTTACAGAACAGATTAGTTTCTCATTAAACAATTAATACACGTATTGTTTTGTGACATTGGTTGCCAACCCCTCGATGTGTCAACAGTCTCCCCTTCTTGACCTTGGATTTCCCATTTCCATTCATCCAGCTTTCCTGTACCCTCCTGCCTTCTCGTCCTTGCCTGTGGCCTGGTGTGCCCATTTAGTGTCATATACATGGTTGAGCTACGTGTATTATTGTTCGTTTTATAGGCCTGTCTAATCTTTGGCTGTCCAGGGGCCATACTCTCAGGGTTTCTCCAGTCTCTGTCAGACCAGCAAGTCTGCTCTTTTTTTGTGAGTTAGAATTTTGTTCTACATTTTTCTTCAGCTCTGTCCCGGACTGTCTATTGTGATCTCTGTCAGAGCAGTTGGTGGTGGTAACCAGGCACCATGTAGTTGTTCTGGACTCAGTCGGGTGGAGGCTGTGGTAGTTGTGGTCTGTTAGTCCTTTGGACTAATCTTTCTCTTGTGTCTTTGGTTTTCTTCATTCTCCCTTGCTCCAGACAGGGTGGGACCAGTGGAGTATCTTTTTTTTTTTTAATTGTACTTTAGGTGAAAGCTTACATCTCAAGTTAATTTCTTATACAAAAATTTATACACATATTGTTTTGTGACATTAGTTGCAATCCCTACGATGTGACAGCACACTCCCCCTTTCTACCCCAGGTTCCCTGTGTCCATTCAGCCAGTTTCTGTCCCTTCCTCCTTCTCATCCTGCCTCCAGACAGGAGCTGCCCATTTGGTCTTGTGTATCTGATTGAACTAAGAAGCATACTCCTCACGTGTATTATTTTTTGTTTTATAATCCAAGCTAATCTTTGTTTGAAGAGTGGGCTTTGGGAATGGTTTCAGTTCTGTTAGGTTATATCTTGAGTCAATCTCTTTTGAGATATAAAAGAGAGAATTGAGCAGAGAGGAGAGGGACCTTATTACCTCCAAGCAAGAAGAACCAGGAGCAGAGTGTGTCTTTTGGACCCGGGGTCCTGGCGCTGAAAAGCTCCAAGACCAGGGGAAGATTGATGACAAGCACCTTCCCTCAGAGTTGACAGAGAGAGAAAGCCTTCCTCTGGAGCTGGTGCCCTGAATTTGGACTTCTAGCCTCCTAAACTGTGAGAGAATCAATTTCTGTTTGTTAAAACTATTCACTTGTGGTCTTTCTGTTACAGCAGCAGTAGGTATCTGAGACAGTCAGGAAAGTTTTCAAAAAAAGAAGACTTTAAAAAAATAATAAAATGATTAAAATATTTGATTTTTGTGTGTAGGCACACATAAATATTGAATAATATAAAAATATGTTAAAATTAGAAGACAAGTGGCATTGACAGAGACAGATGATCATGAAATAGACAACATACACTGCTCAGTGAGTTGATCACTGTCACTTGTGTATGTGTCAACACACACATGGATTGATCGTCATGTGCTCATGCACAAGTGGAGAAGATGCCTTTTGATTTGAACCTTGAAGATAGATACAGGTGAAATGTGTTTTCATTTATTATAGAATAAGTTTATTATATGAATTATTGTCATATATTTTATTTTAGAAAATTCCAAACAAACACAAAAGTAGAGAAAATTATTAAAATGAACTCCTATGTACCTATCACCCAACTTCAAACATCATTAACTCATGATCACTCTTTTTATTTTGTATCCCCAACCACTTCGCACCCCAAGGGATTATTTACCCATAACAATCTCAGACATAATATTATTTCATCCATGATATATCACTATGCTTATCTAGAAGGTAAGGATTATTTTTTTTCCTACATGACTGCAATACCTTTATCATTCTTAATAATAATTGAATATCCAATCAGAGTTCAGATTTCTACAATTGCCTAATAAATATTTTTATAGTTTGATTTGCTTGAATCAGGATCTAAAGAAGCCCATGCTTGGCATTTGGTTGGCATGTGGGACACAGGTGAGTGTAAGGCTGAAAGGCAGATATTGCAAGGTTTTCTTTAAATTCC